TTCCAAAAAGTCTACATTCACATGTTTTAAAGAAATATTAAATGCTGCTTTTAATGACTGTTTTCGGTTAAATCAAATGTTGCGTTGTACACCGTGCACATCACAGCTTTACTCCTAAACAAAGCTCGTACCGGTTAAATGTGAATCAGTTCGCGCGAATCATTTAAAGAACCGGTTCAAATTAATGATTCAGTTTGGCCTTGGATTCAGACTTGAACACGTGGTAAACGCGGTTGAGTCGCAAGAAAATAAATAAAAATATGGATTACAAAATAATCTTATGGATGGAGGCCAGAGGGGGTTTAGGATGTGTATGGCTCAATTTCGCCAAAGAAAGGTGAGATTAACGAACTATATTAGCAGGTGAAATGATGCACAGATGATGGGAAAATACAGCTCAGAATCACAGAACACGTGTTCAAAACGCTGTCATAATTAAATAAATGCCATATACACTAAAGAGTCAATTAACTAGCATGGGACTGATTTTAGATACGTTTGCTCACCTGAAACAAGCTCAACAAGGACTCCGCGTTAACGCAATTTACAGGAAAACTGTAAAGTGTGAAATGTGGTGTTATATTTTCATTTTAATTGTATATTTTGTATTCAGCAAAGAACAGTGTGGGAGAAATGTGTTAAAAGTTTTGAATATATCATTTTTATTATGTGCATTTTACCTTGATTTACAGTAGAGGGCGCTAGAGGGCAATAAAAGAGGTACCGGTATATAAAATACATATTGTATTTAAATGAACAGAAAATTACATTTTGATTAGTTTTCAATTTAGGGCCCATTTGAACTTTTTAACTTTGAACACTGACGCAAATCAAGACTATAGTTGTGTTGAAGTAATGTAAAATAGTAATCACGCAATTCAAGACATTTAGAGAATTTGTCATTTAAAATAAGTTTGTTCTCATCATTCTGCTAATTCAGATCATTTCGAATTTTTATAATGGTTTTTCATTTGATCAGTCGGTTTGAGACGCTCATCCAAAACTAGCCGTAAACATGCAGTATGCGTAATTTTAGTCATTAAAAAAACTAGAAAACCAGAAAATCAACTTCTCCGAAAGACTAACACTATTTTAAATGAGTAAAATGAATATTCTTCACAATTCAAAACAGCATTAGTATGTGTTTTGGGAAACTGGCTCAAACTGAAGCGTAGTTAAGCGTGTGGGTTTAGATTACTCACAGAGATGGCTAATTGTGCCAGAGAGGGCTGTCTGTTGGATCCTCACCGCCTTGTGTCATAACAAACTACCACATGCTAGGATTTCAGAGTCATTTAAGTAGTTAAAGATCTGCTCCATCATCCTCCAGAAAGCTGGACGGTTAGGAGGGAGAATGAATCTGCCTTCGCTGTACTCTCGAGTATGGCATTTAACGTTAAAATAGAGACCTTGAATGCACTTGACCTCTTCGCTGTAGATAAAAGCCTCATTAAGTGACCCGCTTCTGTAGAGTCGCCTCTGTCAGATTTCCAAGAAAGACG